GCCAGGTCCCCCCCCGATAGACCCTCTCCCCCATCCGGGTCCTGCCCCACCAGGTGTGTCCCAGGTAGACGCGGTCGAGCCTGTCGAGGTAGCTGTTGACTCTGGTGCTGCTAAGGGTGCTGAGCCTGCAGGTGCGCGGCCTCGGGGTGCTAAGCTTGTCAACTTCGCTGCTCACTGCCGTTTAGACTACGCCGCGAGTCTTGTTGCTTAGTCTGAGTCTGTCTGTCATCCGTCCGTCGGGGGTGAGTGTGCTCTTAGCACGGACGTCCTTGAGGACAAGCAGGAGGAGTTCCAGTGTTTTGCTGCTGCTTTGCCTCATCTCATGTCTATGTTGATTGCCCCTGAGGGAGACCACGATGCACCAGACATCCCAACTCCTCGATCGTACGCTGAGGCGATCGAGGGTCCCTACTCCTCACAGTGGCAGTCAGCCATGGACGCAGAGATGGCTTCCTGGAAGTCCACAGGCACCTACGTTGACGAGGTTCCCCCACTTGGGGCGAACATCGTCAGTGGCATGTGGATTTTCAGGGTGAAGCGGACGCCGGGTTCTCAACCTGTCTTCAAGGCGCGTTACGTGGCTCGAGGCTTCAGTCAGCGGCAGGGAGTTGACTACTTTCAGACCTTCTCTCCCACCCCGAAGATGACCACTCTTCGGGTGCTGCTGCACATAGCCGCTCAGCGCGACTACGAGCTTCACTCTCTTCACTTCAGCACAGCTTTCTTGCAGGGCAGCCTGCACGAGGAGATCTGGCTGCGCCGCCCCCCTGGCTTCACTGGGTCGTTTCCTCCTAGTACCCAGTGGAGCCTCCGGCGGCTAGTCTACAATCTCTGCCAGGCGCCCCGTGAGTGGCACGACACACTGAGGGCTACACTTGCGGCTCTTGGGTTTGCTCCTTCTACTGCCGACCCGTCGCTGTTTCAGCGCACAGACACCTCTTTACCGCCGTTCTTCATCCTCGTGTACGTCGACGACTTGGTCTTTGCCACTGCTGACACTGCTGGACTCGCCCACGTGAAGTCCGAGCTGCATAAGAGACACACGTGCACAGACCTGGGTGAACTGCGCAGCTATCTTGGCTTGCAGATCACCCGGGACAGAGCACAGCGCACCATTACCCTGACTCAGTCACACATGGTGCAGCAGGTCCTTCAGCGCTTCGACTTCACGTACTCCTCGCCTCAGGCCACTCCTTTGTCTACTCGCCACTCGCTCTCAGCTCTGCCTTCGGATGAGTCCGTAGAGCCGAGTGGCCCGTACCCAGAGCTTGTTGGCTCCCTCATGTACCTGATGACCTGCACTCGACCTGACCTTGCATACCCTCTTAGCATCTTGGCACGCTATGTTGCTCCTGGGAGACACAGACCAGAGCACATGGCTGCAGCGAAGAGGGTGTTGCGCTACTTGTGCAGTACGTCGGGCATGGGGCTAGTGCTTGGAGGGCGGCGTTCAGTGGTTCTCACAGGTCACGCAGACGCTTCTTGGGCTGACGACCAGGCTACGTAGCGGTCGTCACAGGGTTACACCTTCAGCCTTGGTTCTGGTTCTGTTTCGTGGCGGTCTACCCGCTTGTCTTCTTTTCTCGGCTCTAGCTGTGAAGCTGAGATCTACGCGGGGGCCATGGCTGCACAGGAGCTACGTTGGCTCACCTACCTGCTGACCGACCTGGGAGAGCCGCCTCGTTCTCCTCCAGTTCTGTGCGTAGACAACAAGGCCATGCTGGCCTTGTGTTGTGAGCACAGACTGGAGCACAGAACGAAGCACATTGCTCTTCGCTACTTTCTTGCTCGTGAGGTGCAGCAGCGTGGTCAGCTGCGCCTTGCTTACGTGGCCTCTCAGGCCAACACTGCTGATATCTTTACCAAGGCACTTCCGCCTTGTGATCATCAGCGCTGCTCTAGGATGCTAGGTCTTGTGCCTACGTGGCCTCACTTGCTCACTTCTTGACCTTGCATGTACTGTGATCTTTCTATACCTGCACTTGCTTGTTTACCTTTATATATGATCTTGCATGTGAACTGGCCTTGTTGCCTTGAATTTGTGCTCGGAATGTGTGGTGACGTTGTGATCCACCCTAAGCTTTCTTTGCTTTGCTTGACTGGTCTTGTGACCCCTTGTTCTCCCCCACTTTGCCTATGGGGGTGTGTCAGACCTATATGGCTTAGCCTATGTAGGCTATAGTGGGGTAGGACATATGGGGTACAACATTTCTAGGGTTTGTACTTGTACCCGACCTTCCCACTAGTCAATCATTTCTCATTTCTTAACATCATGGAGCTCACGGCACAGCACTCAGAGTGTGGTTTACAACTCAAAGAGGCTTCCATTGTCAGCCGTATTCTCGTTGTGCTATGTCAAGGATGATCACCAGGAACGGTGGTGCTCGTCAGGCTGATGGATCTTCTGCTGTGGTAGTGGACAAGCTTAAGGACTCCGAACTGCCTGCGGATGCTTCGGCATCGTCGGCGATTAAGCGCACTTCGGACTTGTTCACGGAGGTAGACAACGAAGCTCTTCAGCCCGCTGCTTAGGGTGCGAAGGATGCGGTGCGGGAGCTTCTGGCTACTGGATCAGGGAACAATGTGCAACGCGCAGGTTTTGACTCCAAGGTCAAGGCTAACAACAAAGGAGATAGCAGTTCTTTGCAAGCAGGCAAGGAGGATGCTATCACCAAGTCAGCTAAGGAGGACGAGGAGGAGGAAGACGATGGGTACCTCAGTGATGATCCGGAGGAGCGATATGATGCACATGCGAAGAGTGAAGTCGCGCAACGGATCCGTTTTGCCATTGTGCTGCTGATCCCGATTGTGTTCAAGTCGGAGGCGGCGCGGGTGCAGGCAATGCTTCGCGCTCTCTTCAACCTCTGGAAGAAGGACTTGAACATGGAAATCCAAGCAACAACGAATTTTCAGGAGCTGACGGATTTGTTCCTGAATAAGAAGCAATATCATCGGCTGCAGGTCTCCTTCGAGCGGGCTTGTGATGCTAACTTCGTCTGGAAGCACGGGATAGTACACACCTGTGTTGACGGAAAACGCATTAACCTAGACTGGCAGCATCCCGTGGATCCGGCTTATCTGAAGGCGCGTGCTGCGGATTCTCTGCTCGTTGAGGTGCTGTTCAAGGGGGTGGATGCGGTAATAACGCTAGAGATGCTATGTGACATGCTGGTGTCAGTGAAGCTAGAGAAGCGCGGACGCTCGGCCTTCAAGGAGGGTTGATGTTTCCACCGGGTGGTGAATCCTGTTACGGGAATGGATACTGACAAGGTGAAAGGGTTGGTGAAGCAGCATGAGGGAAACAAGTACCGCTGGCGCCATGTGATTGATGATCCAACTTCACACGACAAGCAGTTGTTAGTCCACTACCCGTCACTTTCCTGCGGGTACTGCTCGGGGTATCACATGACACGGTACCATGGTGAATACGTGTCAGAGCGGCAGAAAAACATCGGCAACTGGAGCCTGTCTCTGGGACGGGTACACGGGATCAATGGTAATGGGTGGGGGTGTCTTCTGACGCACCTGTTTCATAATAGTTCGTCGTTGTTTTGGTGGTGTGATGCTAACGCTGTGGATGTGTCGACTCCGCGCAGCCGCCTCATTCAGGATCACAGATCTGACCAGGCTTGTATTGAAGGACCCCGCCGTGGTGTTGATCTCAACCGGGGGGGATCGTGAGGAGTTGATCTGCGTTCAGGAGTGTTGCGAGAAAGCGGCTGGGGTTTCTTTTGCCCAGGCAGTGGAACATGTTGTGTCTCAGCGGCACAGCGACGGCCTGTCCGGCTCGGCGTCACGAAGCTCCAAGGCTGGTGTCAACTTGGTGACGACGAAAAAGGAGTTCGGTGTGTGATGGGTTACATCAGACCTGCAGATGGAGTAGTGATAGCATTCTGCGAAGGAGGACAAGGGGACAATAGTAGGAGGATTATCATCAGCTGTTGTATCGAAGGTTGTAGTGTGTCACCGTGCTCTATTGTATTACTGCCCTGTGGATGCGTGGGGGCCTCAACAAGTGTTAAATATTGGGTAACAACCACCAGTTAACCATCATGTCCCTAAACGTCAACGGCCTGGGAAGTTCAGGGAAGCAACGAACAGTGAAAGAGTGGATCAGAACAGCTGCTGACATCGTAGTCATGGCAGACACACGGGTAGCGGAGGATCACAACTTCTGGACGGAGCTCCGGCCTGATGACATGGCCGCGGTAGCAGCACCAACTAGAGCGGGCGGTCTGGCAATACTGAGCTTCAAAGATCGGGTGCAGATAGAGGACATTCATCGGCATCATTCTGGGAGGTTGCTTCATGCGCGGATACGGTGGGGGACGAGGGTAATGCGGTTGTTGGCGGTGTACTTCCCGGCGCAGCCGCCACCGAGAGGCAGTTTCCTAGGGACGGACTTCAAAGATGTTGCGGAGGGCCTGCCAAGGGGGGAAGATCTCGTGGTGGCAGGAGACTTCAACATGATTGAAGATCCACTACTGGAAAAGTCAAATAGGCCGGGGGTGACTGGGGACAACAACCGTATGATGCATATGCTGGCGGACTTTCATGTGAAGGACACATTTCGGGGGCTGAAACCGGATGAGAGGCAGTTCACCTTCTATTGCAAGTCGGCGAAGGTCAGCTCGCGGATTGACAGGGTGTTGGCGTCGCAATCCATGTTACACCTGGTGGTGAGGGCAAAACATAAACGGATTCCGAAGGGGATCACTGACCACAAGTTTGCGGTAAAACTGAAGTTGAGATGGAGCGGTCCGTGAGAGGCAGGGCCGCGGATCTGGCGGTTTCCGGCACGACTGATGAAGCGGCTGGGCGTGGCGTCAGCGATTGCGGAGGTGGTTCGTAGACACTGCGAAGAGGGGAGTGGGGATTTTGACAAGTTGTCAAAGTGCTTGGTAGCCCGACTGCGGAGATATGATACAGAGGAACGACGACGGGTGAAGCGTACTAGGATTACTCTAGAAGAGCAAGTAGAGCAGCTAATTCACAAGGCAATGGCTGACCCGGGTAACGACGAGGTGCAGGCGTTGGTGACAAACCGGGAGGCCATGTTGCAGAGGTACTGGGATGGTTGGAGGAGTCTGCTACAGCTACAGACTGGGCTCAAGGTGCAGCTGGAGGGGGAAACACCAACTGGTTTTCTGTCGGCACTAGTGAAAAGCAGGAAAGCAAAGACCGGAATTAAAGAGTTAGTGCGGAATGGGGTCAGTCACACGGAGGCACATGAGATCCTGGAAGCTGCCACTGACCATTTCAAGGAGGCTTTCGACGATACTACCACGGGTGGGCTGCTGCCGAGTGTGGAGTGGACGCCGAGGAGGGTGCTCGAACGTGCATCAGCGGAGTGTCTAGCGAAGGACTGGTCGGAGGAGGAGGTTCAGCAGGCGATCAGGGAGCTGGCCAACGATAAGTCTCCAGGTCGGGACGGCTTGCCCAAGGAGCTGTTCCAGGTTCACTGGGAATTGCTGCGGGAACCGCTGATGAAGATGGTTGGGGAGTTTGTGAAGACCGGTAAGATGCCGGATATTGCAAACGAGGCGGTTACCATCCTGCTATTCAAAAAGGGGGCACAAACGGATATCAGGAATTATCGGCCGATTACGCTTCTGTCAAGAGTTTATAAAGTCTTGGCAAAGGTGGTGGCGTCGAGAATGAAAGCAGTGCTAGGCCAGGTGATTTCAAACGAGCAATACGGTTTCTTACCTAGAAGGCGGCTAACAGACGCGGTGTCGACGGTGGCGGATATGATTGAAGCGGCCCGAAACGATAACAGCAACTGGTATCTGCTTCTGATTGACTTCAAAAAGGCGTACGACTCGGTGCACAGGGACTTCATGCTGGAGACCATCACCAAGCTGGGTTTTCCCACGCGGTTCGTTAAGTGGATACAGGCTCTGCACAGCGATGTACACACAAGGCTGTGCATCAATGGATGGGTAGGAGAGAAGATCACGATGCGGAAAGGCGTGCGGCAGAGCTGCCCGCTGGCGCCTTACCTTTTCCTGTGCGCGGTGGAGCCGTTGAGCCGGATGGTGGATGAAAGGAAGTTGGGTATTGGAGAAGGAGGGTGCGAAAGGTTGTCATACGTAGGGTATGCAGATGATACGACCCTGCTGTTAGAGGGGGAGCCACAACTGAAAGAAGCGGGAGCGGTACTGCGAGAGTATGCGGCGGTGTCAGGCTTAAAGGTGAATGCAGGAAAGTCCGCGGTACTGCCGTTGGGGAGGAACGTGGGACAGCAGGCGCCTGATGGGCTGGGATACCGATGGGTTGGAAAGGATGAGGTAGAGTGACTCCTCGAGGTGTGGATATCACCTGGCAGGAAGGCGGAGGTGACATGGGAGAAAGCGTTTGACAGAGCAGCGAGGGAACTAAGCAAGTGGAGCACCAAGTACCTCACGACGAGTGCACGGGTGACTATTATCAACAGTTACGCGTTGCCGATCTTCCTCTTTCAAGCACAAGTGTACCCGCCGGACGATCTGTTGTGGAAGAGGGTGGAAAGGCTGGTAGAAAGTTTCGTGTCCGGCAACCATGCAGATACGGAGCGGCATTTCAGGCTCTGGAGAGGGGATTTGATATATACACCAAGGGAGCAAGGGGGTTTTGGGGTGATTGATCCGCGGGGGCGCATTTACAGTGTGGCTCTAAGATGTGCGAGCCTGGCGCTGCAACAGGAGTGTCCGCTCAGGCGGGGTTTATCGGAGAGAGCGGCAGGGCTGCCTCTTGGCTGGAAGACACTATACGCACACACAGCGGTGTTGAGAGGGGGTCTGTTCAAAAGCAGGAGGTGGGCAAGGCAGTGCAAGGCGATACTGAAATCTACGGTGGTGAAAGTGTCGGAAGCGTCGTCAAGGTGGGAGGCGGAGGAGGAGTTTCTATGTTACAATAAAAACATCATTCACCGTGGGAATGCCCCGTTCGGCGGCCAGAAAGGGACGGAGAAGCTGAGGAGATGGAAGATGCGCGACATGGTCGTGAGGAAGTGGGATGGCACGATGATGCTGAAATCGGAAGAAACGTTGGCGAGGGAGTTAGAAGGGAAAAAGGAGGCGGAAATGGCGTTAAAGGCGTTTCACGCGGCTCCAGAGCGATGGCGTCAGTGGGTGTTGGCGCCTCTAACTGCAGAGGAGGTAGCGGGGGAATCGCCCGTAATGTGCACTAAGTTACCGAGTGGGCAGAGGTGTCTCTGGGAGATTGTTGGCAAGATGGGGAGGAAAGTGGAGCTGCGAGGGTTGAGTGGAAAAGGGGAACGCACTGCATGGGACGTGAAGCTGGTGCTGTGCTGTGACAGCGTGTTGCCGGTGTGGCTCTCCAAAATCCGGGCAGTACGGGAGGTCGGAGATCCGAGAACGCGGTTACTAGCCTCGTCACTGTTTAAGGAGGAGGATGTGGTTCCGCTGAGGGAACTTAGGGAGCCGAGCAAGGGTATAGAAGTAGTGGAGGTGAAGAGGGCGAGTTGGGAGACCAGGGCGGGCAGGAAAATTAACTGGGAGCGGGGGAGAAAGGTCCGTGATTCACCGGTGACCCCACTCAGAGCAAGGGACGTTGTGCTCCGCATACAAAACCTCAACCTACAAGTGGGGGAAAGGGTGCCATTTGTGAAAGGGGGAGTGACGTGTCCGAATTGCGGTTTGGAGGAGACGCTGGAGCACTGTTTACTTGAGTGCAAGAGTGTGGCGCCAGTGGTGGGAGCCATCAAGTCGGCGCTCGGCATGATGCAGCCAGCAAGAAAGGAGGACAGGCTGGCATATCTCGTATTTGGAGAGGAGGAGACGAGGTCCGGGTTTCCAGAAACTACTATGGTGGCTGTGGCGATGCACCAGATTTGGATGGGAAGGTGTGATGTGTCGCTCCGTAAGGTCAAGAAGTTTCAGGCACGGAAGGTGCTTCGGAGGATCAACGTGGAGTTCAACAAACACGCAAGAATCTACTGTGGCAGACCCAGCAGGCGGGCACAGAAAGATAAGGCGAGGTGGAACTTGGCGGAGGATGAGGCATTTGTCATGCGGAGGATTTGTGACAACGAGGCGGTGGGGCTGAAGTGGCACGAAATTTTTCAGTCTATCTGGACAAACCCAAGGACTTTTGTGAAGCCACCTTAAAGTTCGTGGGGAGGGCTTGGCTTACGTAAGCCGGCTTGAGCCCGATCAGTCGGTTACGACTGAAGTGTTTTGCTTGTACATGCTATTGTATAAGCTTTCACTTAAATATATATATATATATATATATATATATATATATATCATCGCGACTCCGTATTTCTGCGCGACCAAGCGTTTCCAACTTGGGATATGGGGTTTTGCGTGTTACCTGACGAAAACCATTGACCAGAGAGCCGACGGGACACTTGTTCACAAGAATGTTCCACGCTCTAAATATTCGATGAGCGGGCAAATTTTAGAAAGCGTGATTACGAGCAGCGGACGTGCGGACATCGTAGTCATCACCACGCATTAGCTCGGAAAGCGATATAAATATATGCCCTACATTACATGTTTTCACTAAGGGCACGAAGGACATAATATATGGTTGCTATCAAAATAAGCGTTGTTTTATGAAATCTGATTCAAAGTTTTAAATCTCACCTCCATCGCTGCACTGACCAGGGTCATGCTCCCGAGTACCAGGTGGTAAAATATGCTAAAAAACATTTTCCAAGCAGCTGTCCCACTCCCTGAAAACCTCCACTTGAAACGCTGAAAGCATCACCCTCTTAGTGTTACGAGTGCAATTGAGTGAACGAATGAGAATTGCACTATCAAAGCAAGAGTACAATGAGCGAAGGCATGAGCGAAGAATATATAGCGAAAATACAGTGGTAACGGTAATGGACTGTTGTTGTCGCGCGACGGGCCTGGGAATGAGGTTGGGAAAAAGTGTCGAAGCAGAGGTCCGGAGCGCGGGTTACCCGCCGAGCCGTGAGGTCGGGGTGCGATATGCGAAGGTGGCGGGCAGATTGTCGATACGAGGGTTGTGAGTGGTAACGGTGCTGACTGTGGTGCTACAGTAATGTACGCGTTGAGCAGGGATGCGAAGTAAGGAAAAGGAATTTTCCTTACACTGACCCCCCCCTTAAGGAGGTCCTCCTTACGAGAGTGCGTGTACATCCCTAAAATTTCGGTTGCGCAGATACTCGGTGAGGACGGGGTGGTTTTCCATTCTGTCCAGGGGAACCCAATTGTCTTCGGTGGGTGTACGGTCCTTCCAGTGTCAGAACATTATAGCTCATGCATATTGTATTGGCTATAGTGGGGTAGCCTATAAGGGGTACAACACAATAAGGGTTAGTACTTGTACCCAATTCATTCATAGTTCATTCATTCTCGTTTCTTCTCATGGTATCGAGCAGGTTCCCTCGTGGGAACTGTTCCTAGGGCCCACCAAGTCGAATTTTTTTTTTTTCCTGCCCAGAGCGCGCTTCGCTTAGGCCCGAGTCGCGCCTCGTGTGCCCTCTCTACCGTCGCGCCCGTCCTAGGCCTCCTTCGGCCCCGTCGCGTCGCCCCTAGCGGCCTCCCTCGCGCCGCCCTTACTCGGCCCGTCGCCACCCTAAGCGGCCCGTCGCCGCCCTTGCGCCGCCCTCACCCGCGGCCCTACCACCTACCTGCGGGCGCGCCACCCTACCAGCGGCCCCGCCGCCCTTATCTGCGGCCCAGCCGCCCTTACCTGCGGCCCCGCCACCCTTACCTGCGGCCCCGCCGCCCTTCGCTGCGGCCCCGCCACCTTACCTGCGGCCCCGTCGCCTGCTGCTACGGCCCCGCCACCTTAACTGCGGCCCTGCCGCCCTTACCTGCGGCCCCGCCACCTTACCTGCGGCCCCGCCACCTTACCTGCGGCCCCGCCGCCCTTACCTGCGGCCCCGCCACCTTACCTGCGGCCCCATCGCCTGCTGCTGCGGCCCCGCCACCTTACCTGCGGCCCCGCCGCCCTTACATGCGGCCCCGCCACCTTACCTGCGGCCCCGCCACCTTACCTGCGGCCCCGCCGCACTTCGCTGCGGCCCCGCCACCTTACCTGCGGCCCCGCCGCCCTTACCTGCGGCCCCGTCGCCTGCTGCAGCGCCGCCCGCCACCCGAGCTGCCCCAGCTGACATACCCAGCCGAGCAGCCGACCGCCGCGCCGCCCTGCAGCCGAACCGCCGAGCAGCCCAGCCGCCCAGCAGCCGAGCCGCAGAGCCGCCCAGCCGCCGAGCCGCCCAGAAGCCGAGCCGCCCAGAAGCCGAGCCGCCTAGCAGCTGAGCCGCCCAGCAGCCGAGCCGCCCAGCAGCCGAGCCGCCCGCGCCGCCGAGCCGCCCGGGCCGCCCTGTCCGGTAAGAGCAGCGCCTCTTTCTCAGCACTGCCCTTACCCTACTGTTTGCGCTGCTGGTCTACTGCTGTCATGGCTACCCCTAGTGTCCTCGCTTTTGACGCTGAGGGTCGGGCCATTGACTTTGACGTCTGGATAGATGATCTGCAGCTTTTCTTACAGTGCGATAGGACAGACGTGTGAAAATGAACGAGAATGAATGCACTATGAAAGAGTTGGGTACAAGTACTAACCCTAATTGGGTTGTACCCCATATAGGCTACCCCACTACAGCCTACACAAAAGCAAAAACTATAATGCTCTGACACACCCCCATAGGCAAAGTGGGGGAGTACAAGGGGTCACAAGACCAGTCAAGCAAAGCAAAGCAAAGCAAGCTCAGGGTGGATCACAAAGTCACCACACATTCCGAGCAGAAGGTCAAGGCCACAAGGCCAGCTCACATGCAGGAGTACATATATATAAATTAAAGGCTAGACAAGCAAGAGCACATGTATATATATATATATCTAACAGTACAAGCAAGGTCAAGTACCAGCACCAGCACCAGTAGCAGCTCCAGCTCTAGTACCTCCAGCAGCACTAGTATTACCCCCAGCAGGACCGCCTCCAGGACCGACAGTAGAAGCCTCAGCGCCAACACCCGCAGCAGCTCCAGCTCCAGAAGTAGCCGCAGGTCCAGCAGCTCCAGTACTCCCAGTACGAGCACCTCCGGGACCCGTGGCACCAGCTCCCTCAGCAGCAACAGAACCTCCAGTACCTGCAGCACCTCCAGCTCCAGCAGCTCGCCTCCAGTGCCGGGCAAACCACTCACGCAGCTCCTGTGGAGAGAGTGGCTCCCGGCGAGAAGAAGCACCCGGAGAACCGCCGAGCACAGCACCAGCAGGCCCAGCTCCCTCAGGCTCCGCACCCCCAGGCTCAGCACCTCCAGGCGTAGCACCCCCAGGCTCAGCACCCCCAGGCTCAGCACCCCCAGGCTCAGCACCCCCAGACTCAGCACCCCCAGGCTCAGCACCCCTAGTCGTAGTACCCTCAGGCTCAGCACCCCCAGGCGTAGCACCCACACGCTCAGCACCCCCAGAGTCAGCACCCCCAGGCTCAGCACCCTCAGCAGCACCAGAGTCACCAGCGACCTCGACAGGCTCAAATGCATCTACCTGGGACAAACCTGAAGGGGCAGGACCCTGAGGGTGGAGGGGGTCTACCGGGGGGGGACCTGGCACAAGGAAGAGCGGTGGCGGGGGGAGGGACGGAGTGCGGTAGGGGAAGAGACGGTAGTAGGGGACCGACTCGTCGAACGTGACGTCCTGGGAGGATAGAACACGCCGAGAGGTGGGGTGGTAGAACTGCCACCCAGGCGCGTCAGGGGGGAAACCCAGGAAGACGCAGGGAGCAGCACGAGGGGACAGCTTATCCGCAGACAAGTCGCGGACAAACGCCCGAGATCCCCAGACACGGAACGCAGACGCATCGCCAACCTTCCCCGTCCATAGCAAAGCTGGGGAGGTCTCCGGCATGGAGACCCTGGGCTGAAGGTTGATCTGATGCGCCGCGTACCGAACTGCAAACGGCCACAAAAAATGGGGGGCAGCCGCATGCATCATGGACGTACGGGCGACGTCCATGACCATGCCAATGCGGCGCTCAGCAATCCCATTTTGCTGTGGAGATTTCGGAAGCGTGAAGGTCTGGCGGATGCCTCGTGCACGACAGTAGGCTCGTAGAAGGCCAGAGGAGAACTCTCCGCCTCTGTCAGAGTGCAGACGCAGAACAGGAAAGTCCGAGCCGAAGCTCTGCCTGAGCTGAAGACGAGCTGCGCGGATCCAGTCGATCAACACCTCAGTGACATCACCCTTGCTGCGCAAGGGGAAACACCGTGATGTAACGCGAGTAGTCGTCAACCACCAGCAGGAAGTAGCGCTCGTGACCCTGTCCAGGGACGCGGGCTGGGCCCCACACGTCCATGTGAAGCGTCTGCAGCGGGGCCTCTGTCGGAGGAAACTGGGAGGAGTGAGGGGTAGCCCGCTGCCGCCCCTCGACACAGGGGACGCAGGTAGGGCCAGGCCCTAGAGGAAGGGGAGGGAGGGACCGGGGAAGACCAGAGACAAGGACACGGGAGGCCATGCTTCGGAGACGAAGAAGGGAGGGGTGACCAAGGCGGTGATGCCAGAGGAGAGTCTCGTGAGACAGGAGGCGACACGAGCAGGGGGCAGACTTAGGACCAGACCTGGACGCTGCAGCTAACATCTGACCCGACGCAGCTACCTGACTAGACGCAGGGACTGGAGGAGACGCAGTGGTCAGTGTGTACAGGCTCGACCCCCGCCGACGGATAAACGTGGCCAGGTGTCTGCCTGTCCGAGCGTCCGTGCAGTGGGTCACCCGCTCACTCGCAGGAGTAAACTTGTGAACCCCCGCATCCTGTAGGTCAGCACCACTCACCAAGTTCGTAGAGAACGAGGGGAGGTAAAGACCAGACAGGGTGCTAGAGGGGGCCGCCGAACACGGGAGGACAGTGGAGAAGTGAGCAAGGACAGGACCCCTAGAGGGGTCTGCCAGGGAGACTGCAACTGGCCGACCAAGCGGCGTGAGTGTGGTGCGGTCTCGAAACAAGGAGCGAGAAGCCCCCGAGTCAAGTGTGAAGGTGTGGGAGGCCGAAGCCGACGCAGTACCTGAGAGTGCTGACTCACCAGTACCGGAGGAAGCAGACGCACTAGCACCTAGAGCAGCAGCCTCGCTAGCACCTAGAGCAGCAGCCTCACCAATACCTAGAGCAGCAGTCGCAATGCTCGGGTCGGGC